AGAGAGAGAGAGAGAGTGCCGGAGCAGATGACAAGGAGTGTGAAGAGAGTAAAACCTTCTGCAAGTGGAGCTGGTGACCTGAAAAGACACAGTCGCCCATTACTCTCGAACAGCTTTCCTGTTTGAGTTTGCGTCTGCTGCCTATGGTGGGCCCTAGCCGAGTAGCCTGTACCCTGTGCCGTGCCTTAAGTGCCGTCTGGATGACTTCATGGAACATAACACACGTAACTCGCCCCGTACTTTAACAAGCGCGACACAGCAGCTGTAAATAACGCCCGTGCACACGCAATAGCAGCTGCACCAGTTTATTTTTGGCTTCATGACGTGTTCGACAACATTAGCGAATATACATTTGCCTCTGACATAATGTTTATTCTAAAATATGGAACGGGATTACGTCTTCTGTTACGACCCATATTCACAGGAAATCGGGAAGGCAAAGTACAGGGCTTTAGGTAGCGTCACAGACGTATTATATTTAGTCAGGGAAGTTTGGAAGCTAGTAAGACAAATAGCAACATATTTTTTTTGTAATACATGTATATACTTTGCTCTGAAGGTACATCTTCGCATTGATGAGAATTGAATGTCTCCCGTATCGCCGAATAGACGATATCGTTGACAAGTGTTAATTCGTCAGATTTGGTGAATAAACTTTCCTGTTTATTGTTTACGACCGGTTGCTCGAGGGTGTGCTCATATAAATTATCATGGAGTGACAATTAATGATCTGTAGCTTCTCTCGACGTCTGCTGTTACTGCCAGAGATTAGAGATAGCGATCAGAAAGAAGCATGCGGTTTACGACATGAGCTGACAATTTGACCATCGTTCCTCTTCGCCAAATGCTCTCTGGCTGGCACGCGGAGAGGTATAGCGCGCTTGTTATGGTGCGCCATTTGGGTTATTAGTAATGTTGGGCTCTATGGTGATGTATTCCGGCTGTTTCTTGTTCTTATTGGTCTGGGTCTCCTAGTTACTTGCGGCCATTTTCTTTGTGGGGAGTCATTGGTCGACGAAGAACTGTTTCCGTGGTATGGGAGACTGTGAATAAGAATTGGACATTTAGGTTGTAACCGATCTTTATTTGATTTTTTTTTTCGAAACTGATATTGACCTATGTAAATGAGTAGTGCTGGCACTGACTTATTATCAGCACCGTCGGTTTCGACTGAAAGGCAGGGCTGCTACACTTTTCGAGTCATCCTTCACACACCAGAAACATGGATTTGCACAGTTACATGATTTGCATGCTGTGGCCTGCTATGTAAAGTTTCAGGTAAAGACAACAGACGTGAAAAAACTACATTCGATCTCGAAGTAATATATTTTCAATAGTGTTCCAAAACCAATACGTCAGCTATTGTTGTGAAATGCGCGTCCTCAAAGAGTTAACCGTGGTTAGTTGGCGGCACTGTGATATGGTTTGCTCATTCTTTCCTATCAAATAGCGATCGTCCGTAT